AGCACCCATCACAGGAAGAGTTTATGTTGTTTGTGTACCTTTGACTTCATCCTTTCAAGTAGTCATCATTCTCCTTTCACATGACCCTTTATCATGTTGTAGGTCTGGGGATGTGGCCTGAGCCAGACACAGTTCTCTGTGCCCTGGAGCTTACATTCAAGTGGAGAAGATAGACAGGAAGACAAATAGCAAGTAAGCAGCAATATAATGTCTAGTAATGAACGTGCTATGAAGAAAAACAGGGTAAGCCAATTGAGACAGCCAGATAAAGCAAACAGTAGGTGCGTGAAGGGCATAGGAGAATTAATGACTGATAAGAAAACGTCACCAATAAATGGGCAGTGGGTATTTTATTCCATGTGGTGTTGAAGAAATACATTATTTTGAGAAAATTAATTTTAGGCCATACTTCACAGCATAAGTTGCAGGAGGATTAAAAAGCTAAAGGTGCAAATGGAACTACAAACTGGACAAAATTACTTTATCTAAAGATGGGTACGAATGATGAAGTCCAAAATTATGGAAGGAAACTCCATGAAATGATTGATCGACTACATAATAATTTAGTATTTCTGGTATCAAAAGAAAATTATAAAATTAGGATATGAACAAATTGGGGGAAATACTATAAAAGGGAATAATAAAAAGGCTAAATAATATTAATATAATACATGTCTTCAATTCTAAAGCTCTTTTTCCCTTGCACTTTAATGTTTCTTGAAATCAGGATATGTTTCCCCATCACTGCATATATTTAATGTAGTAAAAAAAAAGTTAAGTCAATGGTATATCTTATAAGTAATAATATCTTCATCTTACAATCAAAATGTGATTTTTTTTTCAAGTGCATACTAATCAGTACCAACATCGAAATTCCTGGTGGAAAAATATCTAATTCAGTCATTCAGTCAAAAACATTTGAGTGTTTATGATGTAGCAAGGTGGTAGGTGTAAAGTGGTAAACCATGTAGACAAAAATCCTTGCCTTCAAGTGCCTTCTCCGGGCCGATGTTGCTCGGGGCCCTGTACACTACTTACATACAGTCTAAGGGCCATTATTTCAGTGAGAATAAGTACTTTGGCCAAGGCCTCTCCGTTGTTAAGAAGAAGCAGATCCAGTCAAGTCTGCGTGGCTCTAAACCCTGTGCTCTTTCCTCAAATTACCATAATTGTTGAGCTGAGTGGAGTTTCCGTGCTCAGTCTTGCTGACAGAGCTATCATTCCCAGTGCCCTTCTTTCTTCGCTTCTGCCTCCGCACTGGATTTAGGACTCCCTCAAGGAGCAGCTGGTGGAAATAGAAACATTGCAGTGGATGCCCCAGTCAGGGCTGATATGTTTTTAGCAAAGAATAAAGTTTTACCAATAAGACATATAAAAAGATTAATCCTACTTTATTTAGGTGCCTTCCTATATGCTTTTAAAACTTGTACTAATGTTATTGAAACCCAGGTCTGGCAAACTGGGGCAGGCAGGGAGATGGTGGGGCAGTTGGCCTTTGGACATGAGTCCACCCTTCCCCCAGGTGCTGGCCTTCAGAAAAGAGCAAACTTTCCTTTCTACCAACACTTGCTTTTCAAGTGGTGAGCAGCTGAGCCTGAGTTTTGATAACACTAATATATAATGATATCATTTAAATTTGAACACACATTTCAGCAATAAAAATAAACAATTTACAGTCATGGATTCTGGGAGGATGAGAAGGAGAAAGAACAAACCATAGACTCTTCTCTGTCTGAGAGAAAGGAAATTAGAAGTTGCCTTCAGTTAGATTCTCTGGAAGCAGAACCCGCCTTGGGGAATTCTTGTGTGAGTGATTTATTGAGTGTGAGCTCTAAGGAGGAGAGGAGAGGGACGCAGTGAGTGGTGGGAAAAGGTTATGCAAGGATGTTGTCTCCACTGAAGACCAACTTCCACTTGATCCTACAGGAGCTCTGGAGCATGAATTGTACCAGGGTGATCCCACAGAGAGGCTGGGAGGTGATCTTGTATACTCTCAAGTCAGCCAGCCATTGGCTGGGTGCTGCCTGGGAGTCAGGTGTGGCTTAACCAATCCAAAGTGGCTGGGGGCAATTTTCCCTGAAAAGGAAGCAGCTGTGGGGCATTAATGGCCAACTCCTAGCACCTGGGGATGGATGCGCTGACCAGTAAAAGGGATCTGGGTGGATCGCCGACAACATCCACTATAGAAGTCCAGAAGGAAATTAATCTGGAAGATTATCAAGTGATAGGTTTTGACACATAGCAGGAGTCCTCTGACTTGATACACCTTTTGAACACGAGATTTACTATCAAAGAGCTTGATGGTTTTTATTTTGCTTTAGGGTGTTAAAGCATTAGATCAGCTTTGGTAGAAGGAAAATTTGTTCTTCAGGAAGGCGTCATGGCAGGAATGCTCTGCAAAGGCTAAGAAGTTTCTTATGGAAATTTTTACAGTTATGATTGGAAAAAGGAAAAGAGAATAAGAGATATAATTGGAAACAATTAGCAAAAACTACTTTGTATGATACCACTTTAGCAGAGGAATGATACTGAATTCCTATAGCTATCATTTATTTTTATCCTAGATTTTTCTAAAGTGATTTTACACTTGTATCTTCCTATAGATACATTCTTTTTGCTAACAGTGTTTTGCATAGAATGTTCAACTACAGAGTGGTGGATAAGCATCATTATAGAACGTTTGTCAAAACCCCCAGAATGTACAACACCTAGAGTGACCCCAAATATAAACCATGGACTCTGAGTGATAATGACGTGTCATTGTAGGTTCATCAGTTGTAATAGAGGTATGGGATGGGAGGTTGATGGTGGGGATGTGGTGTGGGCTTTGGGGGAGAGGGACTATGGCGACTCTGTACTTTCTGCTCCATTTTGCTGTGAACCTAAAACTAATCTAAAAAATTAAGTCTATGTTGAAAAGTGTAGGACTGCACAGAAAGCTGACTCTCCTTCTCAGTCAGTGGCCTGTTCCCAAACACAGAGTCAATGTTCTGGCGACATTTTAAAAATAAAGTTCTTTCCACCTGGACATCCATTCCCACCATCTCCAGTCTAATTTATACGTCCAGTAGGTGTGCAAGCTCATTTGGAAATGCCATCCTGACAAGCCGCCAGGACCTCAGAGGGCCGGCCCCTCATGGAGGGTGGTTCAAATAGAATGTTCTACAACTGCATCTTCTCCAGCAAGAATTATCCCAAAACAGTGTGTTTGGTTTCAAGGTTTTCCTATTTGTCTGCACAGAGATCAGGAATACAGTCAAATTAAAACACAGTAGAATCAGGTGAATAGCATCATTTGATGGTACAGCAAATTCCTTCAATACCTATTTTCATAGTGCAGAACTTACTCTGTGCTACAAGGGATACATATATAATACACACACAGTATTTCTCTCTCTCTCTCCCTCTCACACAAACACACACCCCTTCCTTAAAGGAAGAAAAGAAGCCATCACCCACTCCGTATAAAGTGGTTGACTCATTTCCAGGATGCCTGTTGCTGTTGTGTAAATGTAGCCTGCAAATAAAATTTAACATGTTAAGCTCTTAACCCAGAACTTCTTAGAAATGTTTTCTGATATTAACATAAAGTGCTTACTGAGTTTTTGCTATTACTTTAACCCCAATGGACAGGTATCTCCCCTACAAGAAGATATTTCAAACTGAAGCTAATATGGATGAAAATGAAAAATAGTAACTTTTATCAAATTACAGTGAGATTTACCCTGTAAGCTGCTTAGCGTTTCTATAGAAACATGATCTGCTGAGTTTTACTGTTGAAGTGGGACTCCCTGGAGACAAGACAACATTTCTAATGCTGTGTGTGTGTGTTTCTTCCCTCCATAGGCGTTGAACCGGGGCATCGCTGCTGTCAAGGAAGATGCAGTGGAGATGCTGGCCAGCTACGGGCTGGCGTACTCCTTAATGAAGTTCTTCACGGGCCCCATGAGTGACTTCAAAAATGTGGGCCTGGTGTTTGTGAACAGCAAGCGGGACAGGACCAAAGCTGTCCTGTGCATGGTGGTGGCCGGTGCGATCGCCGCCGTCTTCCACACCCTGATAGGTAAGGCTGTTGACCGTCCATTAGGAATCTAGCTTTGGTAATTCCTTATTCCTCTTAATTTCTTTACATGTATTTATTGCAATAAGTGATCTCTTCTGTAATCATTAAATATTTCTCCCGAAAATTTCAAGGGATGGAAGGAATGGAATTTGGCTTCTAGGGCAAGAAAAGAAAATGTGTTTTCTCTGGGAAGCTGTAGTTTTGTGTCTTTGGTTCCCAAATCCTTTGTCAGACGACGGTATATACATATATGTGTGTATATATATATATAAAATAATATGTAATATTATGTATTAGTGTATGCATGACTGGGACATTATGCTGTATACCAGAAATTGACACACTGTATCCTTCAATTGAAAAAAAGAAACAAATCAAAGCAAAACATGGATCCAACCTCAAGGCACTTTTGGTCTATTGGGGAGAAGCAGATTTTTTTTAAGCTACAAATAAAGCTACATAAGATTAGAGAAAGGAGGGGTGGGGAGAAAGAAAGAGAAGAAAGAAAGGAAGAAAGAAAATTATATATTAGGGTTATTAAAACTCATCACCACTAAAAAAATGGCACATGCTTTTGCTAGAGACAGACATTACTATAGAGACTCACTTAATCTTAAGAATAAAAATAGAATGATTGTTAGGATTAATGTGCATCAGCTGTGGAAACAAAGGTTGTTTTATGTATTAAAATTATCTCATTTCAGGACTTCATTCTTCTATTCCAAGACAAGACTAAATACTCTTGGCATGACATTCTTTCCATGAAACAATGAAAACATTGTATGACACACACACAGTGACTGGCCTACAGGTTCACCAAGACCTGGAAAAGCACCTTCCTTTAGAGCTGGAGTTCTACTTCTGCCTTCTATTGAGTGATAAAACCCATAAGGGCATGATTTCAGAACCTCTTGACTTTAAAATAGGTCAGGTTACCTGGCATAAAAATTGAATACACACCTATTGAAGGCAGTTGCATGAAGCCTGTGAACACTTCACAAACCCACTGTAGGAGAACCATGGATGTTAGGGTTGAATGAAGAGCCAGGAGATAAACCCAGGCCATTTCCGGTGAACCCAAGTGTCTGCTAATGTTTACTCCTATGACTGAATCTGAAAGTAAATGGAGTGAGGCCTTGGTGGTTTTCCTTTTTAATGCAGCATAGAATTTTGTGCTGAGGACCGTGTGGAAGAGAGGATGCTTCTTGCGGGCCAGATATTCAGCCAAAGGGTCACTATTGATCATTGCATTTGGGCTCAGAGCTTCAGGGCATGGGGTAGAGAGGAGATACCTTGCTTTCCCTCAGCTGACGCCCTGAATGCTAACTCATCAGCTGAGGTTTGAAGAAACTTCTGCAGCTAGATTTGATCTGGACCATTTTCAAAGATGTTTTATGTATTTGAGAAAATTCCATATGTGAAATGAATGGGTCTAAATAAATTTTTGCCTAAAAAGAAAGATAAGTTAGTTCCTTTATGTTACTAGGTTTTTGGTTGGTTTTTTTTTTTAACTTCTAAATAAAACTAACATTCACTGTTTTAGTCATGCTTGGATGAGACTTTGGGACTAACAGCTAATTACTAGCTGCCAGTAATTAAGGAAAAGTTGAGTGTACTGGGTAATTGACACTGTTGGGAAGAACATTTGGTCATTGAAATAAAAATCAATGTCATTTTCCAAGTTAAATCTAAGATTTTCAATTTAAAATGGAATCATAAAATCTTACATTTGAACCAAAATTGTTCTGTATCCCAGATATATCTAACAATCGCTTTTATCACTGTTGATATTTTTACAATTTTAGTGATTTTCTTCCACCAAACAGATTCTTTCTGCAATTGCTAAGGAAGCATGTGTCAATTTTTTTCAAACACTTACAAGTTAAACGATAATGATTTTTCCTCCTTCAGTTTGCTGGCCTCATTCCAATTTTCTGCCTAACTCTTTAATTCCTCTCTCGCCTTCTGCTGTCCGCTGCATCAGGCATCTTTGCTCTCCTTCCTTCTTCTTTCTTAGTGAGTCTGTTAGCTTTTTTTTTTTATTCAGATATAATTGATTGACAGTGCTGTGTTAGTCTGTAAGTGTTTTTATACTCAGATCTTGCCCATTCTTTGTTTCCCGTAACCTTGACCACAGGCTCCAGATGGGGTGCTGTTCTCTCATCACCCCCCACCCTTTCCTACGTCACTTTCCTGCCCCAGTAAATGCCCTCCCCTTTACGTGTCACCCGTGCCAGACACTAAAACCCATTTGCACGTCTTCGTCGTATGAAAACAGCTACTTACATTTCTTTCTTTTTTTAACATTATTTTATTGAGTTATAGTTATTTTACGATGTGTGTCAAATTCCAGTGTAGAGCACAATTTTTCAGTTATACATGAACATACATATATTCATTGTCACATTTTTTTTCTCTGTGAGCTACCACAAGATCTTGTGTATATTTCCCTGTGCTATACAGTACAATCTTGTTTATCTATTCTACATTTTGAAATCCCAGTCTATCCCTTCCCACCCCCCGACCCCCTGGCAACCGCAAGTTTGTATTCTATGTCTGTGAGTCTGTTTCTGTTTTGTATTTATGTTCTTTTTTTTTTCTTTTAGATTCCACATATGAGCGATCTCATATGGTATTTTTCTTTCTCTTTCTGACTTATTTCACTTAGAATGACATTCTCCAGGGACATCCATGTTGCTGCAAATGGTGTTATGTTGTCATTTCTTATGGCTGAGTAGTATTCCATTGTATAAATATACCACTTCTTTTTCATCCAGTCATCTGTTGATGGACATTTAGGCTGTTTCCATCTATTGGCTATTGTAAATAGTGCTGCTATGAACACTGGGGTGCAGGTGTCATTTTGAAGTAGGGTTCCTTCTGGATACAAGCCCAGGAGCAGGATTCCTGGGTCATATGGTAAGTCTATTCCCAGTCTTTTGAGGAATCTCCATACTGTGGCTGCACCAAACTGCATTCCCACCAGCAGTGTAGGAGCATTCCCTTTTCTCCACAGCCTCTCCAGCATTTGTCATTTGTGGACTTTTGAATGATGGCCATTCTGAGTGGTGTCGAGTCTTGATAAAAATAGAGATAGAATTTAAGTTCTTGTGTTAAAACTTCACCTTTACTTACTTTATGCATGGGTCTGCGATATCTCTCCAAGGCCTGGGCAACGTTTGTACCTCCCATCCCCAAATCTTCCAAGTAAATATTGCTCGGGTGCAGATTAAAATGATGAGTGTCTCATATGTGTCCCAGCCCTCATGCAGGTAATCAGCCTCTTTGCAGCTGGGTGACGGTGCATTGCCTGATACAACCATATTTGTTGGAGTGATTTAAATATGTCCTGTCCGCCATACAAACACACGTATTTTGGAAAGGATACATTAGAAACACAGGGGTGTGATGACCTGCCTCTGTGAAAAACCTAGTAAACAGAACATAGCAGGTCAATCAGTAGTTCTTGTGAGGTTTTTCAGCGTGGGAATTAAGGAATTTGAGTTAGAATAAGAGTTGCCAGATTTGCGTCTTGAGAATACACATATGATCCTGTTACTAAAATGAGAGGAGGGCTTTTTCCTTAATTCTCATGGGGAGAATTACAGGTAATGAGACTTGTCTAGGTTGATATTAATATTTTGTGGCATTTTGCAACAAGTATAAGATCTATGGGATGGACAAGTTTGAGAACAGCTGATTCTGGAAAGGGCCCGTCCCCCTGGTGGGCTGAGGTCAGAGGAGCTTGGAGA